GTCTCCCCCGGAGGCAGTCAGGGATAGAACGCTGCCCGGAGCTCGTGCATCCCACGGCGTCAGTCAGGGATAGAACGCTGCCCGGAGCTCGTGTCTCCCGAAACAGAATGAGAATCTCCCCGCACCTGTGTCCATTGCAGGCGCCGCCACCGCCCCTGCCTGAAACTATGGGATTTGTCTCCCTAGCTGAGGGAAAATCCCTCCCTCGGGTTGTTTACTGGCTGACTTCGTGCACGCGCAATCCCCAGATCGAGGGAATATCCTTTCATGTGGAGTCGTGTGATTTATAGTGGATGAGGGATGTCCTTGTTCAACGGTGAGTGTCCAATAGCATAGAGCACATGAAGCAACATACAGCACACTAAAAGGATTCCCCCAGTCTGCCTGGCGTGGGAAATACCTTCCCGGGGGCGGAAATGTTTGCCAGCAGATTTTATTTAATGTTAAGAATTTGAAAATGGATTAAAGCTTCGCTGTGTTTTATTAAAATTAATTCTCAGGAAGCAGACGGACGTTCATTGTCCAACCCTAACTACCCCGAGGGAGGTGGTGAATTTTCATTCGAGAACAATAAAGAAACCCCTAATATATGCCCAAATGAGGATTTTATCGGACGTGGAGATATTGATATTCTGGGTCTCCTGCCCCTAACCTTCGAGCCGTTGGAGATCATGGATTTCAGAGATGCCCTGGAAGAAGACATGGTAAGCTGTTGCAAATTATCCTGTAGATAACACACTGTACATCTGCAAAATACACACTGTTGGTGGAGGAAGTCCATATCCAATAACAACTTGCATTTGTATAGTACATATAAGGTAGTAAAACGCCCAAAGATGCTTCACAGGTGTGTTATCAAACAAAATTTGGCACTGTGCCACTTAAAGAGTTTTGGAACTAGGGACTTGTTCAAACAGGTGGCTTTAAAAGGAGTTCATGTAGTGGCAAGAGGTCGCAAGACATAAAAGTTTAAGAACTGATTTAGGGAAAGAGTGCCAGTGGATAGGCCTAGGCAGAATTTGCTCCAACAAACCTGGAGCCAATGGAAACTGGAAGAAAATTCTCCACCTGACACAAAGTAAGATGTTTGTGCCACTTGGAGATCAGTCATCTCAGCTTCAGGACATCTCTGCAGGAATACCTCAAGGTAGTGTCCTTGGCCCAACCATCTTCAGCTATTATGTGACTGACCTTCCTGCCATCATAATGGGGATGTTCACTGATAATTGTACAATGTTCAGCACCAATCATGACTCTCAAGATACTGACTTATTCCATATCCAAATGCAATAATATCTGGGTCTGAGCTGACAAGTGGCAAATAACATTTGTGCCATCCAAATGCTAGGCAATGTCCAACTCCATTAAGAGGATATCTAATCATTATCTCGTGATGTTCAATAGAATTACTTTCAGTGAAATCACCACCACCACCAACCACCACCTCTCCACCCTCCCCCCACCCCACCCCACCCCCAAACATCAACATCCTGGGACTAACCATTGACCAGAAAATGAATTAGACGAGTCATATAAATATTGTCGCTACTGTGGAATCTCGCAGTGAGCAACTCATCTTCTGATTCCTCAAAGCCTGCCTGCCATCTACAGGGCACAAGTCCGGAGAATGATGGAATACTTCCCTTTACCCTGAGAACAAACTTGTGAAGCTTGACACCATCCAAGACAAAGCATCTGAGTTGACTGGCATCCCGTTTAACACATTCAAGGTTCACTCACTTCACCAATGATTCACAGTGTAGCAGCTGTGTACTATCTACAAGATGCACTGCAGTATCTTACCAAGGTTCCTGCAAGAGCACCTTCTAAATCCACAGTCTACTTCCTGGGTGGCATGGTGGCTCAGTGGTTAACACTGCTGCTTCACAGCTCCAGGGATGCTGGTTTGATTCCAGCCTTGACAGTCTGTGTGGAGTTTGCACATTCTCCCCATGTCTGCACGGGTTTGCTGTGGTTTCCTCCCACAGTCCAAAGATGTGCAGACTAGGTGGATCAGCCATGCTGAATTTCCCACAGTGTCCAGGGATGTGCAGGCCAGGTGGATTGGCCGTGGGAAATGCAGGGTTACACGAATAGGGTAGGGGTTTGAGTCTGGGTGGGATGCTTTTCAGCGGGTCAGTGTGGATTCGATGGGCCAAATGGCCTGCTTCCACACTGTAAGGATTCTATTCTATGAGAAGTAGATGCATGGTAACACCACCATTAACAAGTTCCTTTCCAAGTCACTCATCATTCTGTCTTGTTGTTCCTTATTGTTTTTCCTTAATTTTCATTGGGACAAAATCCTGGAACTCCATCCCAAACAGCTCTGTCCCTGCACCCCAGAGACTGCAACAGTTCATGAAGGCAGCTCACCTACCACCTATTTAAGGGCAATTACTGATGGGAAATAAATGGTAGCCTAATCAGCAACATCCACATCCATACATGAACTTTAAAAATGCTGTCTAAGCTGCTGAATATTTCCAGCATTTTCTATTTCCATTACTTCTGCCACTGATGGGAACAGAGATGAGATTTTTCACTCTTGTTTGTTAATCTGTTGACAATATATATCTGAAAAGCTGATGAAGGGATTTCAATGAAACTTGGTGCACAGATCGAGTGTAGAGCAAGGAAGAATTGATGTGTTTTTTTGGCACACTACTGATCCCGATCAGAACCTGGAATTTTTTTCTGCAGGATCTGTTAACATTGAGAGATGGAGCAGATTGACTTTTTTTAAAAGAATACTGTGTGTTGTTTGATGTTGATTGTTTTAAACTGGTATGGATTGTCTCAGCTTATCTTCTACATCTGGGGATTCACCTAGTACTGAGGCGCACTCTGTTAAGTGAGATCACCGTTTTCCTCCATTGTCATCCAAATTGCAAACATGCAATGGAGATGAAAAAGGTTGCCACTGCACCCGGGGTGGGCAGAGTAAATGTATTATTTGTGAGGGAGCGGTCTCCTCATTTGTATAATGTGAGACCCCTCAAAGTGTCCAACAAACTTGTCTGCCTCTCCTGTGTCTGCAAGAGCATTTATATGATGCTGTTCATTGCCAACACCACAGGGTCCTCTCCTGAGTCGGTGCCTGCTCCTCCGTATCAGTGGAGTGGCGTGGTTCTTCCTTGGCCAGCTGCAGGGATGCGCTCACCAGCATGGCTATGATACCCACCGAGTAACTGAACTGTGCAGGATGCAGGAGGTAGCCTTGCCAGTACATTGTCTCAGAGATCTATGGCTTCTTCCTCAGAGGTGGAGGAGGAGACATCTTGAAGGGGAACCCTCTTGACAGCAGAGACTGTGCAGATTCCAATGGTGTCTGCAGGAAATATAAGAGATAATACATCGCAAAATAAGGGTAGAAGTTCAAGCATGTAAAACATATATTCACAGTGGTGATGATGGAGCACAGCAAAGAACAATGATTGTTACTTGCGAGCTATAGCATGCAGGTTTTGGCAACACCACATAAAAGATCACAATCCTCAATATCTGTTGTTGACTCTCTGTGCCACTTTTGATGGCAATTTGCTCCTGGATTAAGACAAAGGGGGGTCTTGAGTGAGATGAAGGGCAGCTGACACACCATTTAGCACAGGTGTGAGAAAGCTCGTGAGCTGTCCAAAGGGCAGGCAGGGTTAGTAGTCTGGGATGGTGAGAGACAAAGAGGGAAGATGCTACTTGCAATAATGTGAGTGGTAAATGATGAGCCTTGGGGAAAGGGTAGTGCAGAAGCAGAGACAGAGTGAGGTAGCAGAGATATGATTGTGTCTGTTATCATGGGAGAAAATCATCGACTCTCTCAAGGCATTACTGGGCATTCAGGGACCGTCAACGCTGCACTGACCCAGGTGGCAACTTGTGACAAGGCTGACAGGGTCTGGTGATGTAGTCCTCTCTGCCAGTCCTGAGAAAAGAGAAGGGTTTTTCTCTGTACCACCTTGTCCACCAGGATTTCCAGGCCCCCACTGGCAAATCAGCATGCCAACTTATGAGATGGGGACAGGCCTGAGTGTGTTGTACTTAAATGCACGTCCAGTACAAGGTAAATTAGCTGGCAACACAAATTGAAGTTGGTGGGTATCACAGAGACATGGCTGCAAGGGATCAAGGCTGAGAAGTAAATATCCAAGGATACACGTCCTATCGAAAGGACAGGCAGATGAGTAGAGGGGATGGAGTTGCCTTGCTAATAGGAAATAAAATTAAATCGATGGCAAGAATGATGTAGAGTTGGAATCTCTGTTAGTAGAGTTGAGAAACCGCAAAGCAAAAAATATTCTGATGGGAGTTATGTACAGGCCTCCTACCAGTAGTCAGGATATGGGGAAGAAAAGAAATCAGGAGCTAGAAAAGGCATGTTAGAAAGGAGCTAATACAATAATTATGGGAGACTTCAATATGCAAGTGGACTGGGAACAGGTTTGTAACCAAACCCAAGGAAAGGAATTCGTGGAATGACTACAAGATGTTTTTTTTTTGGAGCAACTTCCCCATTAGGGAACAGGCAATGCTGAATTTGGT